CGCAAGAAGTCCGCCAAGTGCCCGAATCGTCGTCTCAAACACAGACACAGTGATGTCAATGTCAAAGCTCACATTCTCCTCCACCCACCTCGCGTAGCGACGAAATTCCGTGTGGAACCCAGCGACCGCCAGCGTGTCGAGCGCATCGATCAGCGTCCACCCGTAGCCGCCCATGGTGTTCTTCCCTGCCCCGTTCACCGGGCGTAACTCGTCCTTCGGGAAGGCATACTTAATGTAGGAGTTAAAGGCGTGCCCTATCATCTCGCGCACGTAGGGCCGCATTTCGGCCTCAATGGGGTGCAAGGCATCGGTGCTGCGCCACGCACCGCCACCCTCTCCCTCATCCTCGCCCACACCTCCACCGGGCCCCCCACCACGCACGCACACGGCCGTCACCAGCAGCAATGCTACCAACAAACAAATGCATGCCGCGGGCCCAGGGCCCTTTTTACCGCCTCCCCCAGAACACATAAATACGCACTTTGCACACTATCTACGCACCCTCACAAAAAAGAAAGCCAGAAAAGAAGGAGCAGTAGCACACACATGTTGACGAGGCAGTGCGTCGTTTCCGAAAAAAAAACACCATGCCCCGACACGCGCAACCAGTCACACTACTTATTCGCAACGCCACACCAACACACACACACACACCACAAAAGAAAGAAAGCAGAAAAAGTTTCCGGGCGGCTGGCCGAATCCTGAGTTTCTCAATCATATAAAACAAACCAAATAAGAATAAGAAAGAAATGAATTTAATAAGAATGGATCCATCATATCCTCAAAGTTTAGCAGCAAGTAAGTGCATATATGTATATATACATCGTCCATTAGCCACAGTTGTGGCCCGCTCACCCTATTCGGATGCGATACATATATATTTATTACATATTTATTACTTACGAAGTGGCAGACTTTGGGGTCCTGCAGCCACAAGACCCCACCGCGTGGAGGGAATCAAAAGGGTGTGGGTGGCATGGCAAAATAAAATGAAAATTAACCAGCCGCTATCAATTCCCTGATCCCCCAAAGTCGTGTTCTTCCAAAAAATCATAAGATAGAAAAGCGTCATAAAGAAGTGCATTCGTTGTATCAGCATATATAAATTAATTAGGGCAGCCAGCTCTCCCGCGATCACTCTCCTCACAAGCTCCCACAAAAAAAATTGTTTTTGCTTCTAGAAAAGGAGTTCCGCTCAAAAAAAAAAAAAAAAAAGAAAAAAAAAAGAAAACGAAAACGAAAAAAAGCAAACAAACTGAAAAGATTTTGCGTGTGTTCAATCAAAAAAAATTAGTTTTTCTTCTTTTTGTTTTTGTTGTTTTCCCTTCGGTTCAAAAAAGAGCCGCAAATGCACACATCCACAGTAGAATCAGCAATAAAAGCCCAGAAACATTCACAAACATGCAGCTTTCGCCATTTTTCTTTAAATTATTGTTCGGACCGCCAGTGCTAGGGACTGTGGCAGCACCCACGGCAGTTTTCTTGGGCGACCCCGTTGCATTGGAAAGCAAGACAGAGAGTTTTTCAGGAAACAAGACAGTGTAGAAGTCATCGTCCTTCGGACCGAAGTCGTGCTTTTTAGATGAACTGGGTGACGCATTCCGTGGCTTTTGCACAACTTCTTCAGGAAGACGGCATTGCAGTTCACTGGCACTCAACACTCGGTTGTACAACAATACGTTCCTCACTTTCACATGGCGGTTTCCCTTTTTTTCGCCGTTGTCACCGCCAAAGTAGAAGTGCGAGATATCGAGTAACCGTTCCTTACCAGTCGGCATCGTTTTCGAGCTCCCCAGCAACTGGCCATTCACGTACACAAAGCTTATTTCACCGTCCTCCAGGATGAGTGCCACTTGGTATTCCCTCCTCAGTTCCCACTCGCTACCCTCGGCTGTTGCCTTCACGCCGTTAAACGTCACCTCCCACTTTTTATCCGCACTGTAGGAGATCCCCAGAAGCGTCGACAGCTTGCCGTTGGGGTCGTTCATCTTCACGCCCATCAAAGGAATGGAGATGGTGCCACTCCCCGGCACTTCCTGTATAGACACCGTCGCCAGAAGAGTGAACTGGGTGTTTGCAAAGTAGTATATTTGATTCTGCCCCTGTGTTCCCACAGGCCACACCGCCCCTGCTCCAACGCCCTTGAAGATCGCACCACCCGAATTGGTTGTCACCTCCCCATGAACAGCTGCGTATACCCCAAAGTACTCATTCTTCCATTGACTTCCATTAAAACTACCGGACAAAAAACCAACCAATCCATTCATGAGCATACGGGTGCTGCAGGCCCCAACAGAAGACAAACTGTCCTCGGCAATCGAAAAACGGTACAGCTGTAAAACACGCTTGTCCATCTCTCCCCAGCTTATTATCACTCTCTTTATCAGCTCCAGCTGCCCAGTCAAGCGCACAGAAGAAATGCTGAGATTGCCAGTTGCATTCCTACTCCCGTACACGGAAATCAACTCCTCACCCGAAGTATTTCTGTACAAAAGAGCGCTTTCAGTGATATCTTCGTCGGTGGAGGATATCGGCCCAATATCAGCAATGCGTCGTCCGTCAGTTAGCCAAAGATTGAGTCGACCGCTTTCGTTATCCGTAGAATACACTGGCAGAGAAACAAGCAGAACATTCTTTCCTTCAATCTTCGCAGAAATAAACCCACTCTGCACACCTTTCCCTGTTCGATTATGCGAATTGCCCCACACGCGCGAGAGTGTCCCGACAGCCTCCGTCCAAGATTCCCCGTTGTCACCGGATTCGTACACCTTGCGATAGCCATCGTTGCATGAGATGATCATAAGAAGCCTCCCATTCACCCACTCGACAATCACGGGAGCAAAATACCTATCAGGCAACCCCTTCGAAAGCTTCCATTCTTTCTTAGGACCACCGGAGTACAGAATTAGTGAGAATTCCTCTTTATCCTTTGTCCATCCGTTTATGGGAAGTACAAGTGAGCTGTCCTGCGTTAGGATCCCTGTGCCTCCACTGGCAGAAAAATTCTCAAACGACCTCTTTTGAAACTCTGCAGCAATTTCAGAGCTCAACAAGCCGGAATCACCCCAGGTAATTTTTTTAGATTTTTCCTTGTCGCTCGCGTTCATGCTTTTAATTTCGCCAATAACGAGAGAAGGGTACGGGTATTCTGATTTTGGCACAGCTCCCTTAGGTGATCGTGGTTCCTTCCCAACATACAGAAGAAGGTACAAGCCATCGTTTTTAAAAAACGCAGTAGGGTTAAAGAGGGAAGGTAAACCCTTCCTTCTCTCAGTGCCCTCCGCATAATGTGTTTGTGGGTTATTCGCACTGGAGTTTGGTAAAGTCCACACCGCACCCTCTTCGGTGGGTTCAATGATTCTTGCCAAAACAGTGCTTGATCCATCTTCGTAGTCGGCTTGAGCAATGACGGCAACCACACCATTCACGTCAACAACGGATAGAGAACTGATTGCGGTAACGGATAACGCCGGAATCTTTACTCGGGAATGTACTGATTTGTTACCTTCTGCTGGGACGGCTACTGCTGAGGTAGGTGCTCCTGGTGGGAGAGTTTCTTCTGTGGTATCATATTCATACCCTGTAGCAGCCAAAATCATCCCAATGGTAAAACCGCTATCATTTTCTGAATCAGTGCCCTCAGTGGGTACAGCCCCACTGCCGCAGCAGATCATCATGACAATTAGAAGCAGCACCGCAGAAGTAAACAGACGCCGGGACATGTTGGGCCTCTGCGGCTCGCTCTCTCTTCCTTCCCTCCTCCCTCCGCTGGATCCGGTCACGCGTCGACGGTTGTCTGTGCGGGGTGCCTTCACTGCAGCAACACGTGAGAGCATATAAATATGTGTGTGTGGGCGGTGTGTGTGCTGTTGGTCCTTTCAGAGCCTTACAATTTCACAGTAGCAATTCGCGCTTGTTTGCTTTCCTTCCTAGCGTGCGTATGAAAAAGTATGAAAAAGAGAAAACATGCCAAGTAAAGGGGTGAGACAGCAAGCACCGCCGCCCATCCACAGAGAGTGAAACCGTAAAAAAAAAAAGAGAAAATCCACGTCATATATAAGGAATGAGGCCAAAGGCAAAAATATTAAAGCAGCGTTGAAATGCCAAACTCAAAAAAGAAGCAACGCCTAAAAAAAGAAAAAAGAAAAAAAAGGGGGGGGGAGGGGGGGGCATTTTTGAGCAGGGGAATATCATGCCTAACCCACAAGTTGTGAAGAATTGTAGAAAAACCTGTTGTGAATGATGTGCCGTCTCTGCGGCAGGCCTGTGTAAGGAAAACTGTCATCATACCAAAGCCAAAGTTCATACGGAAGCTCCGCTGGCAGAGTGTTCATTGAAAAAGGCCGCTCCGGTAACTTCAGCATGTCTGCTGTTGCTCTGTCCCGCTTGATCTTCAAATCCTCATCCAAATTCATCTGGCGCCCCGTCAGCCAACGTCCTCCGAAAAATACAAGGGGTACTCTCAACGAACGTAAAAGAACCCAACGGGGAACGGCTTGCAGAATCGTCTTTTGATGCTCATTGGATGTTTGACTCAAATGAACCAAAACCACGGGCTCGAGATCAAACACCCTGTGGGGCTCTTGTCCCGGCAGCACAGCGATGTGCTTAAAGTCGTTCCTCTCACTCGCGGGAAGCCATTTCAGGGATGTGTACCCAAATTGTGACCACACAGTCGAAAGTGAGCTCCCCACAACATGTGAAAATGAAGCTCCCGTCACGAAGTGTGTGTGCTGAAGCGTGTCATCAATAAGAAAAGGATTGGATGTCTCCTGCGCATTGAAAATAATGACAGTATGTGATGGTGAGGACGGGACCGCCACGGTTGCGTCCACAAGTAAAGCTGTTTCGGAGGTGTTTTCTCCGGAAGCAAAAAGAGAGGCCTGAGTGTACTGTTCCAACGTCGCCGCAGTCCAAGCAGGAGGTCCACCGGCAGCACCTGTCAGCAGCATCCATTTGTTCATTTTATTCATCGGAAGCGAATGCATATTTAGCAGCGCGCGCCGCTCCCTCAAGGTGTACTCTGTGAAATAAAAGATACTGCGCTCTCCAAGAATGTCTGCCTTTACAGGGAACCCTCCACGGCACTGCAGCCTGTAATAGCTCAAAGCTTGTGTCCTCGAAAGCCACAATGCACTTTGGGCATGGATATGCTTCTGATGTTTGTGAAGTGTCTGCTGAAGCTCTGAAGAAGCAATGCGGTCTCTTGTCAAAGCCCACTGCATGTGAACCTAAAAAAAAAAAAAAAGAACAAGACAAGAGCTGCAGCCATCTTCACAACCTTCAAAACCGTAGAAGACCGGAAGCAACATCAGTAATCATTGCCTCGAAAAATTGAGCACGCAAAAAGCGTGTACACGAGAAAGAACAAACAAAGGGAAACAAACTCTACCTCATAAACTCTCGTGCACTAATCAATTTCAGAAGTGTCTCTTCTCTTCCAGCGTACGACCCCAAGAGTAGATCCATGTTTCCTCGAAGATCCGGTCGATAAGAGAGAAGAAGTGCGGCGGCTTTGCTTCGACGCCATTTGCTCAGTGATTGGCTGTCGTGTTCCGTCCATTGCGGGTTACGCAGGCCGAGCCGGGGACAAACACTGCTTAACGCAGAAATTCGGCATAGCTCGATGGACACAGACTGCAGCCATTTTGGCTTCTTCCGCTGGCTAAGACCCACCAATGAGGAATAGTAATACCTGATGTCGGGTGTCTCAAGAGTGGAGGGTAGTGCCACCTCCAGCCAGGTATGCGGCGAGCTCAAGTGAAGGCCAAGCGAGCGGAGTGTAACGATCTCCACATACTCCACCTCACGGCCTTCGTGCAGGTAACAAATAACAGGCGCTGCAGAAGCCAGGTGCGGTAGATGCGCATGCAAGTACCCCTGCAATGCCTCCTGCATAGGGGTATGCCGCAAGTTGTACTTTAATGATAAAGCCGTGTAAAGTTCCGTAAGATTATCACAGTAATTCAACATTTCACTTGCAGTGACTGTGACTTGCCCCACAGCAAAAAAAAACTGTTGAATTAAACTCTCATGCAAGGCGAATGCCTCCTCAGGCATCGTGGCAGAAGTAGCCAAATGGCAGGTGGTCCCTTTCACGCCACTTGCAGCGGCAACGGTGCCTTGGATAGAATCTTTTTGGGAATTCACAGGCACCAGTGTGCGTAAATTTTCCTCAATCCTCTCCTGAAGATTCATAATTGCCGCAAAACTCTCCTCTACAGTTCCACGCGCTTTCTGACGCGCCGTGGATAACTCATTCAAAAGATTTTTATTAACCTCGTAAATTGAAGAAAGCACCAATGTCGCCTGCTCTCGGTCCTGTGTATGCTGCTGCAAACGTCCCAGTGCTTTTTCTACGGCATCCTGTTGCTGCGTCAGTCTCGTCACTGCCCCCAGGACCTCCACGAGACACTCCCTTTCAAACTTTGAGGTATCATGCGTCAACTCGGCTCTCCATCTCTCCCAGGAGGAGGCTATCTCCCGCTTCACGTTCTCCATCTCACGTACAAGAGAGAGCATCGACTCACGGTCAGGGCCTTTCGCATCCGACGGGGCGGCTGTTGGCACGGGTTGTGGGATTTCAGCGGGTGAAGCAACGTACTCCCTGCTGTCTCCAACCGGCACCACCTGTTCGTCTGCCGCCGCTGAATTCTGCTCCGGCACAGAGGTCATGCTCGCTGGTTCATTAGACTCGGCTTGCGGAGGTGCAATTTCGTCAACCTTTGACTCTCGCACCCCCTTTTTTACTTCCAGTTTTGGCGCTAACTTGGGACCTTTTCGCACAATGACGATAAAACTGCCGTCCGTGACACCAACGGCCTCGAGCGGCACATCGGTGGGAAGCGGCTGCTTATCAATCTTGCGCTCCCGAACCGTGTAGAACGTGGCAGAAGAAATTTCTAACGGCTCACCAATGGCCTCTGAGAATGCGGGGAGTTGAGCGGCAATCGTCTCCGCCTTTTCGAGCTGCACCCTCTTCGCCGTGCGTGGGCCGGCAGCTAAGTCAAACACCCTCACGGCAATCATCTCGTGTTGTGGATGCCTACGCAACAGCAACAAACAAAAGAAATTTAAAAAATAAAAGGAAGCCACTCACACACACACACACACACAGAGAGAGAGAGAGAAAGGGGAGAGGGATTTCAGGGAAAACAAATGCAGGAAACTGAGGTCCCAAAAACGGTATTCAACACATCATCGCGAGGAGAAGTTATTGAGGTTCTTCGCATGAATGTGCAGAAAACCAAGGCGGATCCCCTTCCAAAACGCCGCCCTGCTCCACCCCACGTGGCGATGTATACCACATCGACAGACTCCACCCGACCCCGCACCTCTACAGCTGGCGTCTGCGGGAAATCAGAGTGGAAATGACTGCGTGCTTGCGGAAACCGTTGACGATCGCAGAAAAACAGCTTTGAGGAGGCAGTGCAAAGTTTCTCGCAGAGGCGGGACACAAAGTCACGAAAATTAATTGCCCTGGCGCGTCGGCTCAGCTCACACTCCACAAAAGTTTGGGGAGAAGGCCGTGGCCTACGCGGAACACTCTCCTCGCTGTATGAAAGCAGCACCAATACAAGAAGACATACGATGAGGCTAAGGAGAAGCAACAGTAATTGTCGCTTTATCTTCAGTTTTCTATTTACGACATGGATGCCAAAAATAAAAGGAGAAGGGAAATAACAACCACAACAATGGAGGGAATTCACACCACAGCAAGCAGTGTGATCAGTGGCTACGCACATGGGTCGTTTGGCTCTGCCAATACAAAAAAAAAAAAAAAGGAACAAAACAAAAGGGAAGAAGAAGTGGAAAAGCAAAAAAAAAAAAAAACAGCCAAAAAAATGCACCCTCTCCTATGGTCTTCTCCAATTGAGATGCTGCTTTCATTTTTATTGCTGCCGTGGTTTTGTTTCATCCACGCCTTTTAGTTCCTTTTAATATTCTTTTTTTTATTACACGACGGGGAAGTAACCGGGTCTTCAACAATGGCATGCTCCCTCACCACCCTCACCACCATCCGCTTTCATGCCAATCCTTGCGTCGCTTTGGGCGCCACCGAAGCCTCTGCAGATGGGGCCAAGTCACCTGCATACTGCAGGGCAACCTGCTGTTTTCTTTTATGCACCCCCTCAAACTGACTCACGGCGGTACAAATAGATTCCCATAGCGTCCAGAAGACGCAACCGTGGACACTGTTGGGGTCCTGGGATTTGCAGCATGCCTCCATTACCATGTGAGCCCTTTCCAAGTTGCCCGTGCGTTTCTCCACGGCTGCCCACCAGAGCGCCACCCGCTGAATAAATGAAGAGCTCAGATGAGGCCGTTCCAGAAGCTTGGCACAGTACTCACGGAGCATTTGACTCCCCTGCAATGTGAGGGTGACGTCCAGAACGGTATCTACAAGACAAAGCAAAAAATTCTCTGCATTGCCATAATTTCCTTGTGCCACATCCAGGCAGTCTTGAGCAACCTTCACGGCGGTGCCCGAAAGTCCTAAACGAGACTCCAGAGCAGCGCAATTGAGAAGAAACTCCACCGAGGCCACCGGACATGAACGCAGAGTGAACGGAACCACTTCAAAACCCAGCCGTGTAAGCTCACGGAGGCGGTGAAGCGGCAACTGCTTCCCAAAAGAAAGGCATAAACAGCTCAAGTATTGCTGCAAAGCGTACAACATTGCCAAATGAGCGTCTTTGAAAGCCACTAGACCCCGCTCAAACTCACGAAACGCCTGATGCGTGCGGCCACTATGCCAAAGTCGACCAGCCAAATAACACGCACTCTCCACTGAGTACGCAGAAGATTTATTATACAGCTCGATAACTCGCCCTGGTGTTTCTGGCAACTCGCAAAACGCAACGTCTAAAACTAGCATCCACGCACGAGGATCCTTTTGTACATCTGATAGTACCGCCCCCTTAGCCATTCCCCTGGAACGAATACCGTTGAATATGTTAACTGCCTGAAGATTTGAAAGGAGTTCGGTCAAACAATTCTCTCGAGTAGAGGAAAGGAGCATAAACTCAACAAATAAACCCATCAGGAACAGGTTACTGCTTGTCGAGGAAAAGGAAATATGCCATGCGGCCTCCTTTGCAACAGCAATGGCCTCTTTCCCGCAATCCGTATCCCAAAGATAGCGCGCGTAGGATTCAAATAACTGCGCCGCATCCACATCAACCAGTTTTAGTCCGGATGTGCACTGCGCGATGGCCTGTCGGTAGAGCATAACCACGTCGTTATGAGAGGCTCGATTATCACAAACCATTTCTCGCAGTAATTCCACTCGCTTCAGCCACATGGTGGTGTCGCGAAAGTTTTCTCTAAGCTGAACCTGATTCAATAGGAGTGCGTGTTGATGGTTGAGGCGACGCAGGTGGGCCAGAGGGTCACGCGTGTCACCGCAGAGCTTTTCCAAAAATTGTTGGTATCCCTTATCACTGAGAGCCTGAATGGATGGATCCATCGCAAGGGAGTCAATGATCTGATCTTCAAAAGCCACAGCCATGCTAAACACTCTTGAAAAGATCGTGGCGTCATCGGCAGTTTCAAGAAGTGCCCAAAGCGCCTCTCGTGCCATTGCAAAATCTCCGTGACCAGACAAGAACACGGCGTGGGAGATCTTTAACTCTGCCGGGGAGGCACAGTGCTCTGCCGCCACATTCAACAACTTTTCAATTTTTGTAACGTCCCCTGAAAAGCGCAGATCCTTCGTCTCAAGGGCCAGGCGGACTGTCTCCCACAAGGTCGTGTCGCTCAAGAGATCCTCGTGTGGACTGCCATCCGCAAGGAACACCGCACACTCCGTAAGAAACTCACTCGTGCTCCCCTTTTCCCACAACATGAGGAAATAATCCCGCTGGTTCGAAGCACGTGAGTCAAACAAAAGGTATAGCTTCCACAGGTATTTGGCGGTCTCCGTAGGCACATGAGGCAGCCTTGTCCAGCGCTTTGCAAGCTTCCACACACGATGATGCTGCGTCACCGGCAGGGCCCTCAGCGCCCGAATGATGGTGTGCCTTATAAGCGTCAGACGCGGAGGCACGGGTGCGTCCATAAGAAACTCCAGAAAGGATACCCATAGAAGTGGCATCATGGGCAACTTCTCAACCGCCCGGTCATAAATGTTCCGCAGCGCCCTGAACCACTCATGCAGCGAGGAGAGCTCTCTTGTGTTGTCCCTGCGATAGGCAATGTAGCTCACCCACAGTTTATACGAAAATCCATTCGCCCGTATGGCCCGCTCGTAGGCAACGTTCGTGGCGTTGGCCTTGGCCGCCGCACTCTCGTGCTCCGAGAGTTGAATGGCTTCAACGAGCCGCAGCCACGTTTTAACGAACGCCGGGGCGCGCAGCACCTCCAGTTCGAGGGACTCCACAGCCAGCGACCCCATCCGTCAAGAAACTCCTAGACACCCACAGCGACATCATTTCCAGAAACAAAAGAAAACGACAGAACAGAGACAGGAATAAAAAGAAAAAACACTGGATTGCGGTAGGAGACACAGACAGAAAGAGAGAGAGAAGAAAAAAAAGACAAGAACACCAATAATATTTGCCCACCAACCCGTGGGAGCCAAAACTTAAAGCAGAAAAGAAAAAAGGAAAAAAAAAGTGTGAAGTCGTCAATGTTAGCCACTCTTTCGAACACGCAATAGAATCCTCTGAACTTCACCCAATGAAGCCGTCAAGAGCCTTTCTGCAAAGTCCTCGGCAGACATTCCACTTTGCAAAACAAACACCGATGTTTTAAGAAACGCAACGGATGGCGAAAAAGAAACTGCAACAAGGTGCTGTGGCACATCACCCACTGCTGATCCCGCACAAACCGACGTCACCGCAGTGTCGCGCAGTACTTTTACCGGATCGACATCCCCAGCCGCCACATTGCCGCCGCACAATCCCACCAGCTCATCCGCCTTTGACAAAAAAGTGTAAATCCGCTGACGGTCGGCACTGCGCAGTGAGCGGCGGATGGAGCTCCATATCGCTTTGTATCCCATGCCTTTTATGTCTGCAAACTCGCCAACCACAATAACCGTGACGCCAAATCCAAGTAGAAGAATCTCCTTCAAGTCATCCAGTTCATATTCTGCCGCACGACGAATCAAAACATTTCTCACACGCTGGCTTCCTCGGAGACGGTAGTCCTGTTCCAATCCCAGGCGTGTGATGGCATTGCACATCGTTTTGCAGCCGGAGCCAGCACACCCCGTCACGGCAATCAAATGCGTAAAAAGATAGGAGCAGCGAAGATGAAAAACAAGACAGACCGCCCAGAGTGCGGCAGACTCCAAAATAATCAAAATAGCCGCATTCTCCAACGTTGGAGTAGAGACACTAAACAGTGGATGTACGAGCTGATAAAATTTTTCAAACTCCATACATTGATGAAGGCTTCTGAGGTGTTGTAAATTTGACACGCCACATGTATTTCGAAGGTACCGAAGGACATGTGTAAACAGTGACATCTCCAATGAAACGAGGGAGACATCAGACGCAGGAGCTGTCTTTCCAAACACACCCAAAAGAGAGCACAACTTCTCCCTGTACTTTGTGTCATTCAGCCAAGGAAGCCCTTGTTGAAGCTTCTGCTTCCACGTTGCAAGGTTTGAGAGCAAACTCGATACCGCCCGCTTTTTATTGTTGACATATTCTCCAAGTATTTTCCCAAATACCCCCTCCCTCGCAGGAGGAGCCTCTATGGGAATAGGATTCATTGCTTGCGAGGACACGCCGGAGTTGGAAACTTTGGCTGCCACATTGGCCACAAAACTCAACAAATTCACACTCTGCTTCTTTGTAGCAAAGTGATGCGCAATCTCACTAATGCTGGCAAGAGCCTCAATCAACTCCGTGGAGAATTGTCGCCCAGGTTCAAATCTGCGTGGCTCCTTCGCCACTGAGGTTGTAAAAAACGGCTCAATAACGATCGCGCTATCAATAAGATTTATTGGCTTTGAAAATATCCACGCATAAGGTAATTTGTTTCGATTTTCAAGAAATAGCAACTCAGCAACATCCTCAGGAACATCAATGGTGTAATTCATGTGGGAGGTGTACCCCATATCCGTGAGAAGCGCAAAGTCCACTTGCAGACGCTGCAGAGGCTTCCGTCGCGTAGCGGACTCCATGCTGACCATTTCCAGCAATGAGAATGTGGCATCTATGCGCCGTGGAGCCATGTTTGTCACAGATATCGCTGTCGGCCACCCACCGTGCGACGAGACACAGATCTGCGGCCGATATTGCAAATTGGCACCGGCGATGCGGAGACACACCATAATGCCGTCCTCCACCGTGTGCTCCATAGCCTCAATCACAGGCAACAGCAGTGTATCCCCCCGTGTGAGAAGCAAACGACTCAGCACACGGAGTTGTTCGGAGACATCAAGACTTTCGTGGCACTCTTCCTCGCAAAGCGTCTCCACGCCAGAGCAGCGCGTGCGCAAGTAGTGACGGCCTTCTTGAACATCTAAAAGAAGACCACAACGCACACCGAGTGGTGTGTTGAGCAGCAGCGCTGTGTCACTGGTTGCCTTCCCCTTCCCTTCCTGTGTTGCAGGCGGGGTAGTTTTGTAGCCACTGGAAGGGTCAGGGGCATCCAAAAGACCCGTGTAGTACAAGAAGTTGCCGCTAAACGCCAAGGTGGAGGCGAGAACTAGGGAATCCTCAAAAAACATACGCCTAGGAGACCCATAAGCAATACAAAAGACGCGCTCTCTCAGCCCGGTAATGGATTCCGGAACCGATGCTATAAATAAATGCGCTGCCAACGCAGCCGATGATCCCATTTCACCAATACCACAGAAGACCGCACATGCCTCCTCCTTTTCCAAGAACTCCACAATCCCGGAGTGGCGCATTCTCTCCCGCTGCTTCACAAGAATCTTGGAACACACAACAAAGTAGTACACAGTTGAAGAGCTAATCGGTAGAGGTGGATCGTTGTAAATAGCCCTCACAATAATACAAGCAAAACTAGATTCAAGCATACACACGGACGATATAGTCGCCCTCATGTAATCTGATCCATCAGGGATCGCCTCGATGCACTGCACACCATTCGTGGAAAAAAGAAGACCGTCAAATATGCAGCGGCATTCCATAGATCGTTTATGCAGCCACGGCATTGCAATTGTCTCCGCAGCGTCAATCGTACAGCTTGTCGAACCGCACGCAAACGCATCCACCGAAATACTGGCATGGGCAAAAATGCGGAGATTGATCACTTCGTTGGGATAAAATATTTCAATGACAGCGTGGCAATATTTCGTCGTTCCCGAAAAGCGTTCTTTGCTTGGGCTGTGACTTGTTGTCCACTCCACCTCGTATGTCCAAAAGAGTGTGTGGTCAACTTCCGTTGGTGAATTTGCGGGGCGTGGGGGGTCCCAGCAGATAAGCACACACGTCGGGTAGACTGCGCATACAACAGGCTCTCTCATTTGAAAGGCCATGAGGGACAAGCCGGCTGTCACCTTCCACGGCTGCAGCAGCCTCTTCCGTATCCTGGCGGGTGAAGAGAAAAAAAAAAAAAAAAAGCAACAATCTGCGAAAGAAAGCAATAAAATAAAAAAGCAAACAAGGGGCAAAAAATATTGTTATTCATATTAATATGAATGTCGATTGATTTATTTATTTATCCACGCATGCACACAAAATGCATAATATTCTTTAAAAAAAAAAAAAAAAAGAACCACAGCGGCCCCACACAGGTTGCTTAAAAGTAGGTTAGCATCTCGGATTCTATTCCGTAGAGAGAAGATTGGGATGCACCACGTGCAACTCTGCACTGAGCTCCAACAAAATCCCACGGTAGTGCGCAGTGAATTGATACGACGTGCCAAGAAGAACAGGGATGGCTCTGTACACCATGAGACTCGCCACATGAGCATATGAGACCATTTCGTCAAAATCCCAATCGACAGGGCTAAAGTAGTGAAGAAAAGGCTCATGGAGCAGCAGTAGGCCTTGTCTCGCACACTGTCGGAAGACGTCATCATCACGCAGGAGCAGTGCGACTTGAATTGTCTCCAGCCATAAGAGAACCACCAACTCCACCACATCACAGTACAAATCCAGTGGAACACTTAACAGCAACTCCAGTCGCTCCCTAAGACGCAATCGAAGGGAATACAATATGACAATCGGAATCCACTCATCCACAGGAAGACCAGGCGAATCCGTGGACGCCATTAGGGGGACTTTTTCTAATAAAATCCCACGGCTCTTTGCAAAATTCTCAAGAAAGTTATCGATGACGGTTTCCACATTCTCATCATGCACCTGAAGGAATCGCACAAGATGGACCATCAGTAGCGGCGATTGACAGGACTCCAACAGAGACTGTACCAATGAAATAAGAGACACCGTCCCGCCCCGTTGCTCCACAAGGCGGAGATACCCCACCCACACCTCCGCCAACCCAAGAGCCGAATGCATGGGTGACCTCGTAAGGATCTGATCCACCAGCTGCGCGTCGGAAGAGAGTGCATGCATGAGTGAAAGATGCACACTCGACCGCATGCGTTCTGTCAATGACCCATCAATACCTGCGGAGACACATAAGTCAATTAGACCCAAATGCCTCGATAAAAGCTGCCCGCACTCGTTATCTGGAAAACAGGGAAACCCATCGCCAAGTGTAAATGAGACATCGGAGATGGAGGCCAACGGAAGGGCACTCGCCCCATCCAATCGCCTTGTCTTTCGAAGCACAACAAGAAACAAATTTAAGTTCTGCAATGCAAGCGGCAAAAGACAAATACGGCCCGGCAATTCCAGTACTGCCTCAAGAAGGCCCACCGCCGCCTCGGGGTCGGTGCGGGCCACATGGATGCACGAAATGGCAATCATGTACGCAACGTATCGCGCCGCCACCTCGCACCACTCTGTCTCTTGGGGGGAAAATATGGCAAATGCCGCCTGATCAGAAATCAGCTGAGCTGACGAAAGACAAACTTCAACACAATCTGAAATCGAACATCCGGACTTCATTAGCGCTACGAGGTAACTGAGCCGGATAAATGGCGATGTGGGAAACAGAGCAACCCCACGAGTGGCCAACCAAAGTAAACGATCGATTGTCGTCCCCGCAACACGCATAAGGCAACGCCATGAGAACGAATCTGCATGCTGCTTAAAAAGTGCGGTTGCCTGGAGAACAACGTCAGTTTTTGAGTGAATAATATGTCCCCATAGTGTTTTCTCCCTTGAATCGCGTAGAAGAGACGCCACGTGCTCTAGTGACATGATTGGCCGTGGCAGAAGCGGTGCCTCCCACGTGGGAGACTCCTCGTCTTCCAAAATAGCCGCAGCCCATCCAAGGTTTGCAACGTGGTTAATAAGATCTCTTTGTATCCGTACTACGTCTGCAAGGTCCGTCGCTGCCTCTATCAATACATAAAACCTTGAAAACATGGATGCAGCGTCACATATGCTGCTGTGCCCCTTAATACACGTCGCAGCGCGAGCAAAAAGCTCCATGCAACCAAGTTTCGCGTGTTCCAACTGGTCTCGGTGCCAGTAGGGACAAGCAGAATTCATGCAACGATTCCCCTCCGTCTCCATCAGACACATCTCATCAAAAAAAACAGGCTCGGTCACCTCCTTGAGCGGCATCGACCCGCCCTCGTTGACCGTAAAGAGCGGTGCATACTTGGAAAAAAAACGTTCCCTGGTTTCCTCATCCGCCGTGAAACACGACATTATTTCTCCCCATCCGATAATGCCAGTCACACGAAGAGCACAGGAAGAAGACTGAAGACCTTCTACACCTGGGACAGTCTGAAACTCCTGCTTCCCAATGGTTTTCTGTACAATCAACTGATCCCCAACGCGTTCGTGGACATGGCGCAGGTTCATCAGCCGCCTTTCTTCCTCCTTTATCTCCTCCGCGATTCTCTGGCGGCGGCGATCCAGATCCTCCAGATGTCTTTTCTTTTCCTCCAATAACTGCTTTCTGCGAACCGCCGCGCTCTCCATCTCGATGCGCTGCCTCTCTAACAGCTCAAGGCGGTCCTTTGGCGAGCTGCTCAGACGACCGCGGTCCATCAGCTGCCTCTTCAGCGCAGGATGAATCCAGTCTTCCGGCACCCGAGTCTTGGGTGGTATCGACTCCATCACTCTACAAAAGAGACATTATCACAGAGAAGAGATCAACAAGGAAATAATAATAATATAATAAAAATACATCCGGAAAAGTCGTTGTTGTGGCAAAAGCAGAAACAAAAAAAAAATGGGGCAAGTCCCTCTCATCATTTATGCATTTTAACTGGTGTAGAGTCAAGACAGAGCTACACGCACCTGCTGCAAAACACAAATGCCTGTGCAAAGACAGAAAGAGACTTCCACCTCTCTCTCTCTCTCTCTCTTTCTTTCCTTCACTCTCTCTTTCTCTTGAAGCCACTTTCTGCAAGGGAAGAGGCCTACCAGACACCTTTGTTTGTCCGTTTGTTTGTCTGTGCACGTGTTCTTCTTGGTTCCCCATTATCACAACATATTTCCCCCCACCCCCTCCTACTCCCCTCCATAAGATACACACACATACACACACACAGGTATATATTATATATATGAAATCCCAAAGGAATCGTGCCGCCAGCTAAATTGCGTTTCGATCCAAAACTAACCCCCCCCCCTCCCCGGATCTATCAGTTCCTCCACCCAACCCACATCCCAGTCAACACACAATCTTGAGAAAACGAATCCTATCCCGCGATCTATCCGCCCCCTCATCCTACGTCTGCACAAACGGTGCGAGCAACTCTACTAAACATGATTCTTCTATGTGAGCTTCCAAGGGCGTTTTGAGTTGGCCTCTTGGCGTTGGCCTTCAATGTAATCAAAGACAAACTCACATGCAGCGGTACACCTTTTCACCGGTCCAAAATGATTTACCATTAAGGCGGTTAGGACTATCGTGAGATAAATGTATGAAAACACAAAACACCCACGGCAGTGTTGCTTTGGCATGCAGTGAAACAACCATGCCTTGTATATCATGACGCCATTGGCAATGCCTGCGGCAGGATAATACCATCCCTCAGAGGGCATCCCAATAACAACGGGACCAGCAAGCGTCATTCCAGCCATGACAACAGACATCAACACGGCGTAAAAAGAGGCGCGCCAAGGATTATAAAAAGCCAACATTTTATAACCAGCTGCCTCATAATCACGGCGACAATGAAAGCTTAGGCCCATAAAATGTGGAATCTGCCATGCAACAAGAAGTGCGCCTAAAAGCCAAGCAGGATTTGTCACAGTTCCTGTGGCAGCAATCCCGCCCATCAGAGGAGGTATTCCACCAACAATGGAGCCCACCCACGTGTTTACGGCAGAAACACGTTTAAGTGGTGTGTAGGCAGCAACATAAATGAACCAATTAAGTATCCCAAGGGCCGACACCGGTGGGCTGAGAAGCCATAGAATGCTAGATCCAACCACAAGCTCCAAACCACACAGGGTTAAAGCACCCTTAGAAGTTATGTAGCCCATAGGCATGGGACGACGACAGGTTCGCTTCATCTTTTTGTCATGTTCCATCTCTAGTATTTGGTTCGCCGTGTTTGCGGAACAAGACTGTAAAAGAGTTCCGACCGTCAGTGCCGCCGCTGCCACAAGGCTCGTACCACCACAGAGCACGTATCCAGTCACAGTTGTAGCAGTCACAAAGGAAGACAAACGTAATTTTCCCATTTGTGCCGCTATTTGTCGCATGGGTAGCGTCTTTGTGTCCTTCTCAAACTCCATTGGGCACCGTAGTTCTGGTGTTATACCGAGAACAGGACAAGACACCGTCTCCGTGCCGGTTTTCAGTGGCTTTAATTGCTCACTATCCATTGCCCCAGAAAAGGGACAACATTTTGTCACGGAATTCGAGTTTGATTGAAAAGCCACGGCGCCACAGCACTTGACACATGCGCCCCGCAGAAGGGCTCGTCGGATCATCGTGCTCGCCCCCCTGGTACCCTCGCTCTACTGTATTCCCATGAATGTATTTTTTTGTTTGTTTGTTTGTTTGTGTGTTCGTAGACAAAAACAAAAAGTCCCAGTGAAGCCAGCAAAAGAAACACACAAAAGCAAAAAAAAAAAAAAAAAAAAACTCCACGGAGGAGCAAATAAATAACACACACATGCAATACACATATATATTATATAATATTATATATAAAGGGCGAAAAGAATACGCGAAGAATGTACCGTCAAGTTCAACTTCAGTTTCCCCCACCCATCCAACCCCCCGTTTGCCATCCTCCTTTTTCTCTTTTTTTTTTTTTTTTCCTTCATTTCATGCCCACTTTCCTCTAACATCTCCCCCATCCTCATGCCCGTCAACAAGACAGGCGAATAAAAGATTAAGAAATCCAAAAAAAAAAAAAAAAAAGAAGAGGGAATCAAACAAACAGACGTCCTTCGCCTTCTTTAGTGTTGTTATCAGTTGTTGTTGTTTTTTCTTCTTCTTCCTCCTTCAGTTATTCCCCTTTTTTGCTCATCGCCTTTGACTTCTTCTTCCTCTTCTTCGTCTTCCTCGCAAACCCGCTTCAGGGGCGCAATGCATGCATGCGTAAGGTTTTATGCCGCACTGTTTGCCCTCCGTCTCTTCGCCCTTCATTCCCTCAACGCGACAGGGCATCCAAAAACACAACTCAATACACATGTGTACATATAAATATATATATTCCCTCAGTTAATTTTGCTAAGAACCTCTGCGACGTCAAAGGGGGTAAATGCGTAACCGTCTGCGGAGTAAAACTTGTTGTTGAACTCCACCCAATGCAGACGGAGGGCGTGTAAAAAGGCAGAAAGAGACTCCATGCCCAGCAGCACCCCCAGCGTTGCACACATCCACACACAAAAGCCAACAAAGACAAAAATGCCCGACCCGCCGTCCAGGCCAACCGTCATAAGGAACGCAAAGTTCCAAAACACTTCGGACAGCTGCGAGTGGGCGAGGGAAAGTGCCCAGAGACGCAAATAGGACGCCGTGTTGGAAACGCAACCCAGAACGTACTCAATGGTGTGAATAACCTGATGAATCATAACCTCACTAAAGTCAAACTCATCCTTTTCTTCCTCGTCTTCTTCATGCAAAAGCGCCTTTCGTTTCATCGCCTCATCGTGGTGTTTCTTTTCCATAAAAGGAATAACAAACAAAAGGACAGGTACCATCGCAAATGCAATGAGAAGCAGCAACACCTGAATCACCGCCTGCCCCCTGTAAAGAGGGAGATTAACAGTTCCTGGCTGCAGAAAAAAATTCGTCATGGTCTCCAGTAAAGACGGTGCGTCATGCGTACGATTTTCCCACGGCGTGCACCACTTGATGACGATAAGAAGACACATGTAACCAAAAGTACAAGAGAGAAAAACAATTTCTGGAACGAAACGAAACCACACCTGGAGCTTGTCACCAAAGTAAAGATGATTCATGAGAGAAAGAATCACCCCCACCATCATCTGCACAACCCCAATGATAACAGAACACTTCATCTTGATGGAGTTGTAAAACTCCAGTTTGTTCTCCGTTTCAGCCCACGCGGAGTCAACACCAAAGATGACACTATGCGCAGGAGTCACACCAACGGGCAGCGATGGACGCACGACCCCGTCTGGTCCGTTCGGTGGCAGCTGAGGCCAGCGGTACCCCGACGTAAAGACCTCCACAGAGAATCCAAACATGTCGTTGTAAAGAAACCCCAAATAAACTGCAAAAAAGCCCATAAACAAGAGCAGATACCTGCCACCAAAAATCATGGCAAAGATTTCATTCAACGGCTTTCCCTCCCAGCTCTTTTCCATAAAAATAAGAAATGCCGAAAAGATGGTCAAAATAAGACCGTGGCCAATATCACCGTACATCACACCAAAAAGATAGGGGAAAGTGATGATTGTAAAAACGCCCGGATTCACCTCCTTGTAGCGCGCCATGCCGTAGCTGTCCACAATGCCCTGAAAGGAGCTTGTAATCTTATTCGTTCGAAAGTATGTAGGCGGTGTCTCCTTTGTCGTGACGCCCTCCACAATGGTCAGTACCTGAGCACCACTTAAGTACTCCGCCTCCTGCAACGCGGTCCTTATGTCGTCTAGAGAACGTACCGGGGCCCAGCCCTTCGCCACAACTGTCGCGCCACTGAATCGCAACATGTTCATCGTGGAGTAAACCGCCTTCTCGACGGCGACGGCGCGGCGCCATTCATACACGCTAGCAGAGATCCCCATTAGCAATTGCCGTTGGCGCAGCGCAGACTGCTGAAGTGTGTGCGTTACAGTCTCCACTTGAACTTGAAGGGATTCCCTCATGCCTTGAAGCTGTTCCTCGTTCTCCGCATACGCGTAGAGTGTGGCACCATTAGCCTCGCTAATCTTCCCAAGACTCTCCCGCAGGCGTGGCACTGGAAAGTAAATTCCAAAGACACATTTATAAATGGGCTGGTTCGTTGCAACATTGTAAAAGGGCGTTGCGATATCGTCGGTTTGCATCACAGAGTTCCCACGAGTGGCGCGGTACACAAGTCGCTCCAATATTGGCACGCGTTCCTTGGGAATGACGCCCGTAATCAAATTGAGGCCCTGGCTGTGTGTGGAGGAGGCACTAAAATCGCGGTTAAGAACCTCCAAATGTTCACGTGATCGGTTGCGCTCCTCAATAAGAGACTGGTACTGCTCGTTCAACTCCCGCACCTCAGCTTCCCGCTCATCCACCTTTTGCTCCAGAGAGAACATCGTCTCTCTCTCTCCCACCTGTCCGGGAACGCTTGTCACACCTGCCTTCTCAATCTCTTCATGTAAATAACGCATTTTCCGCTCCATGTCATCGCAGCGACGTACCTCTTGCACAAAGTCACGTTGAAATGCGTTTACATCGCCGTTCAAATCAATAAACTGAAACGCCGCGAGCTGTCCGAGCTTCAACACCGAGTCATGCGCCGTCTCCCGTTGCATGGTGAGCTGCAGCATCGTCATGTCCTCCGACCGCCACAGACCGCTGGCGGCTTCACGTGGCATTGCCCACAAGCACTAGCACCACCAATACTCAATTCCCTACCAACAAGAAGACAAACTGAATATCTCAATGTGTGTGTGTGTGTGTGTGTTTGTTTGTTTCCACCGTTATGTGTTCTCTTTCCTTCCGTGTGCCTCGCACACAACCCTCCCTCCCTCTCTCTCTCTCTCTTCTTTTAAGATGTTTGTTGGATCGTTTTTTGCAAAAGACAACCCAAGCATAAAAAGAAAAAAGGAAACAAAAAAGAAAAAGAAAACATAAGTTACACACAGTACCAGGGGGCAAACAAATGGTGTGGAAGCATTTTAAAATGCAGGAGAAACAAAAAAAAATTACATAAAAAAAAGGCACGCGTGTGTCTTTTTTCTTCTTTCTTAAATTACTTTTCTGTAGAAGAGAATTCCGTTTCTTTAGGAAGAGCAGAGGGTTGTTTGTTTCCTCGTCTGCCACATTGTAAAAAAAAAAAAAAGAACAGGGAAAAAAGAAAGACAAAAAAAAAAAAGGCAGATCTGAGAAACTATCTGTGAAGGCTGTGAAGGGAATAAGCACTACCGCGCTTCGTGGGGCCCTGAGAACTTTCGACCTTCAAAGTGAACTGTTGACTCCTTCTCAGCTGCGCCAATGCACGACAAACGCCAACAGGCCTCCTCAGAAGCGTGGAGGCGGAGGCACTGCGTAAATTATCTGCCGTCCTCTTGATATCGTCCGAGAGGGCAGCGTCATGGCGATAGCGGGTGGCGCACGCTCCCACGGACTCCACCTGCTCCGCAAGCAGCTCCGGTGGGATGAGAGCGCGAACGTACAGCAGCGTCGGTCGCAGAAAAAAACCCACAAATGTGGATGCGGGCAGCGCTATCTGGTGCGGTGGGTCAAGGTGTGGCTGCTGGGTTGTAAGGATGAGCACGTCTCCCTGCAACTCCTTGGAGAGATGGTACATCCATTCCTCGGGGCGGCGCTCGCACGGCTCGGTCTCCTTCGGGCAGAGCGTCCAGCCGTCCCCGTACAACAGCTCCTCACTCACGGCGTCGCTGCTTAAAATGCCCTCCACCGTCAGCGCCACCTCCTTCGTGGCCCACCGCTCTCGCTCAAAGTGGGAGGTACAAAAATGTCGCCCAGAGAGAAAAAGAATCGCACTGTCACCACTGCATTCCTCGGTGCAGCCCTTCCGCGTCAAATCAAAGTCTCCCGCCGTACAGCAACGAGTGGGAAGAGAAAAAAAAGAGTGGCGGGCGGCACATGGCACATTGTAGCGACCAAAACGTAGTGATACGGGAACGTGACGCTGCAGCTTCAAAAAAGGAGACAATGCCTGCTGAATAGCACTGCGAAGAACCAAGGGCCCAATAGAACAGCGGATCAAACGGATAGCAGGTGTCAGCGCAAGCGAGGTTGTGGTCATCGCCGTAGCATCCAGGTGGAGCGAAACCCAAAAATTCTCCATAAAGGGTATGGCTAGGATCTTTGTCGAGTGCACACGCCGGCTAAAGTCATGGATCGTCGTAAAAGTTGTTAAGAAAAGAAGACCGCGGAAACTGTCAGCGCCGCCGTTGGCAGCGGTGTACAAAAGCCGCTGCAGGGCGTCAACAACACAATGATCGGTGTCACGCGCCGGGGAACGCACCGGATCAAGCGTCGATAATATCCGCATGGCATCCGCCACATTATTGGCGTCAAAGGCGGCATCCCAGGCAGGCACGAGACAAGTTCCATTGGCTGCAAAAATCTCCACACGCAACCACGGCTCCCCTCGCAAAAAAGATGCGGCACGTGACAGTGCCAGCATTTCGCCCACAGCTGTGACAAAAGTTTCCCTGGCTGACTCGAAGAGGTCCCAGTCCGTGTAGCGAAGGTCAAAAACAATCGCCACAGATGACATCGGGCCAGTCTACAGAAGCATAAAGCACAAGTAAACACATCAGCAGTCGAAAAGAAGTGTGCAGAGGGGAAAAAAAAAAAAAAAGAAGAAGCATACAGACAAAAAAACGCAGAGGGAAAACACTTTTTAAAAAACCACGCAACAAAACACTTCTCGCACGTGAAAAAGTTCCCATTCAAGCAGCCGAGGGGCCAATGTGTTGAGCTACGGCTACGCGTCATCCCGTTTCATTCACAAAGGTTAATAACAAAAACAAAACCCGCAACAAAAATCCAAGCGTCAGTAACTCGCATCAGAAAAGGCAATTCCAGTAAACCCCAGTCGTTGCCGCACCCCGCTCTGGTGCCACCTGGGGTCATCCCTTACACTCCTTCTAGTGACAAGGATCCGTCACCATTGTCTCCTGCCGCGGGCCTCCCGTGAATTTGGTTGCATGGAGTAAAGGAGCCGCAGCACACACACACAGAGAGAGAGAGAGAGAGATCCACTTGCTCCAGAAGGTTGCCGCTGCAACGTGATATTTATTTTCTTAAGAATAAAAAAAAAGAAAAGGAAAATAGGCCTCATCGGATCCGTTTAACCGGCTGGAGCTCAGCGTGGAGGTGACTTCAATGTGGCTCCCTCCCAGTAAACCGCTCACTACGAAAGGAAAAGAAATCCTCTGCCAAAACGACGCTTTCGACAGCGTGATAAAAAAGATCCCCAAAAAAAAAAAAAGAATTCCACCATTTCAAGACTCACGTCCGTCACAGCCGCACTACACCGCAAAGAAACCATTTAAACAAAAAAAAAAACACCATCCACGTCCAGCAAAACTTTATCTCCACGACACAACACTAGACAAAGCTTGGGAAAAATCTCCAGCATAGAGGCGGACGCAGCCGCGGCCATTATTTGAACGATCGGCGAACTTAAGCGGGCACCAAAACTTCGGCGCGGCCACTCCACCCTCGAACCCTTCCCACCGCCAGCATCCAGCCGCCAACCACACAACCAGACGTTAGGCCGTTGGAGGAAGAAACAAAAAAAAAAAAGAAAAAAAGGGAATGGCAGATTTTCGTGGTGCGTGCCATATATCCAGGCGCGGCAAACTGAACAAAACCGGCTTAAACGACCTGTTCCGGTCGAGCACCGCACCACGCCCTCCAGTCGGCTCCGCTAACATCTTCAAAATTCTCTTCCACGCGTGAAGCTCACACCCCGCCTACCACCTAAATGCCATCGGCGGTCGCACCACTTTACACATTCCCCCTTTTTTTGTTGTTGTTGATAAGAAAGAGACGGGTGGAGAAGTAACCTTCGCGCTTTTTCCTTCAAATACAAATCTCAGGGCAAACAGAATAAAAAAGAATATTCGCCTGGACCGCTGGCCGAACCCTAAACTCGCATATAAAACGGGACGGAAAGAAAGAAAAAAAAAATAAAATTTAAATGGAAAGACGATGGGTTCGCCAATTCCTTCTTTCTTTTTTGTTCGTTTGTTTTTTCTTTTTTGCTCAAAATGTATGTTCGTCTTTATATATTCCGTTACCTCCAATATTGTGGCATGTCGCATTCTGTTCAGATTAAAGATAAATATATTTATCACTTAAGAAATGAATGATCTTAACTTCCCCTCCAACCACAAGACCCCGCCGCGAAGTGGGGTGATCAAAAGCGGGTGGGTAGGATGGCAAAATAAAAATTAAATAAATAAATAAATAAAATTTGTGTAACGTATGTGCGGAGGAAGCCAATTTGTAAACAGCCGCGTGCAGTTTCCGCTCATTGGCTCATTTAGAGAAAGCCGGGGATGCCCGCACAGTCGAAAGACGCGGCTGATGGGCTGCCGGATAGTCCCCTAATCTGTCGTTCCCTTCCGCGGCGACTTTGGTGGGCAGTAACGCTTACCGAAAAGAGCGGTCCCAACTCGCACTATCGTCGAACCCATTTTTACCGCATTCTCAAAATCACCAGTCATCCCCATTGAAAGCGCAAGAGAATCGGCAGGCACAGAAAGAGCTCTCGCAACAGCCTCACGAACCTGCAGCAGACACTCAAAATTTTCTGGGCGGCTAGTGTAGTCAGGCATGCCAATTGTCATGACACCTGCCACATTGAGATGCTTGCAGTGCTCTTGTATGTATTGCGCGAGCTCCACTGTCTGATTCCCCGGCTCTGTACCGCTTTTTGACTCCTCACCGCTCGTGTTGACTTGGATGTAGACATTTAAGGAACGACCTCCACGATACGTCACACAGCCATTGTTCAGCTTGGTTGCGAGCTTTTCACTGTCCACAGTCTGCACGAGGTACAAGCCATCTACCCCCTCCAGTAGCTCTTTCACTTTGTTGCTCTGCAAGTGGCCAATGAAGTGCCATTGGATGTCCTTCGGTAATACACCCGCCTTTTCAACCAACTCCTGGACGTAGTTTTCCCCAAAACACCGGTGCCCGCAATCGTACAGCGCTTGTACGCACGCTGGGGATTTTGTTTTGCTCACGGCAACAAGAGTTACCGGGCGTCCTCCGGAGGCGGCATCCATACGTCCCAAAACATTTTTGTAATTTTCGGCAATTTCCCCGGCGGTGGGTTCATTGAGAACGTCGTACCGCGACATGGCAGCCCTCAAAAAAATTGAACGAAAACGGAACAGCTTTATTTTTTCCTCTTGAATCTTCCTTTTTACACTAAGGAAATGTGTGGAATTCAAAAATAAACAAAGGGAGATAAAAATTTAAAAAGAGAAACAAAAGAAAAAAAAATGTGACAGGGTCTGCGTTTGTGTCTGTTAGCAGCCATGCACCACACATGGCAAAAAGAAAAAAAAAAAAAAAAAAAAAGGAAAACACGAAGGCGACAAGACGGGAAGAAATAATGAGAATAAATTTAGGGCCTTTTGGAGGCGAGTGCACGGAGGTTGAAGAAAGAGCAGACAACCACTACTGCGTACGCGAAACTTTTTTGGGTGCTGCGTTGTCCTCATCGCCGCCCAATCCTTCACATGCACGTGGCCTCTTATTTTCATTCTTCTTCTCAGTCTCTCCCTCCTCCTCCTCTTCCTCTTCCGATATCAATGAGTCTTCACTGTCGTCTTCCGAGTCGTCAAGGCTGGAGCTGCTCTCATCGGAGTCCGCAACGACAACCTCCTCGCCGTCCCGGTTCTTTGAGTCGAGGGCCACAAGATTTGGAAACAACTCAAAAAAATCGCTGAAGCGGGAGGCGTCATCTACCTCGTTGTCCGTGGCGTCAATGACCTCCAGCCCTGGGAAGGATGCCGCCAGCCGCTCCACCTCGGCCCACTGCCTGACGCGGTTGTTCGCAATGAAGAGTCTCCTCAGGGTGGGGCACAAAGGGAGGTCTTCCGCGACGGTCACGCTGTTATCGCTCACGTCCAGCATGCGGAGAGAGGGGAAGGAGGCCAACGAGATGGCCTGAAGCGTATTGATCCTTGGCTTCATCGACACCAACGTCAGGTGCGTCAGGGCGCTGAAGCATTTGAGGCGTTCCGGTAACAGCGGCACGTCACTCAACGAGATATTCGTCACTTCCCCTGGCGGTGTGTCTTTCGTCTGCTGCTCGATGCGAAACAGCGCCGTCTTCTTAAGAATTTCCATCACGGAGAAAATCCCCTTCTTTGCGGCCTGCACCCCCCACCCCACACAGCAACAAAAACAACGTCAAGAAGGAAAAAAAAGAGGGCAAAAGAAGGTGAAAGTTTCAAGGGAATGTCCATCTCCACAGGCATAAAATACATTGGAGGTAAGGGGTGGGGAAGTGAAGACCATGAAGGGAAGAAAAGAAGAAAAAAAAAAAAAATAGAAAACAGAACAAAGTCGCATTTGCCCTCCAAATTCCAAATTCCCACGACCTCCTCCCACCACCTTCCCTTCCGGGAGGAAAGAGAGGGGGGAAGAGGAAGCGTCACATCCAAACCTCTACACATGCTCCAGTTTCGTGGCCCTAACGCCCATGACAACTGAAGGCATGAAAGGGACGCATCAAATCTAAAACATGTTGAATATTCAAAAAAAAAAAGCAAAAAAAAAAAAAAAAAGAAAAAAAGGAAAAAATACCTCAATAAGAATTTAGAATGTATATATTGTTGCTTGGTTCTCTGCTTCTTCTTCTTCTTCTTCTTCTTCTTTCATATCCCCTCTTTCACGTGATTCTGTCCAAATAGCCAATATTCATAAATTCCATTCTTTTTATACGTATGTTGACCATCTTATATATCATTCTTCTTTACACCTCGTCACTTACGCCGTTGCAACGCAAAAAAAAAAGAAAAAAAAATGAGGGCAAAATGCCAAAACTTCTATTGCCATTATGGTTGCTACAGGAATCATCCTCCTCTGAAGTCAATACGCCATGCACAGAAACTGCCTACATGTATATTATATATTATATATTCGTCTATATGCACTTCGCCTGACCTCTTCCTCTTTCCTATTTTCTATACTTTTGTGTTTCATTTACAATTTGTTGAATTAATTTAAAAAAAAAAAAAAAAAAGATGGTGGTGGTGGTGATGGTGGTGCGAATGCACCTCATCCCTCCTCTTTGATGAAATGTGTCCTTCGCACGGGCAACAGTGGCGATCAACACACGCCTCTCTCCCTCTCTTTCTCGCTCTCCGCAAATCCTCTCAGAATCGGCCAATGCCCACTCATCCACCAGCGCCACAAGAGCAAATTGTGGCATCGTCGCATGCTACACTCAGTACAACTCCATGTACTCAAGCTTCTGCAGGTCTTGGTACGGCGTGCAAAGCACCAGGCTGTTGCGCAGGTGCTGGCAATTCAATACATCGACAATCCATCCCTTTTCACGATGGGCGTTAATAATTTCACCAAGTGCTTTCGTTCCGTCAAAGTCAACGCGGTTCACAAGAGACATGTCAAGAACGAGATGTTTCTTCGTCTCCGGTGGCAATGACTCACGGAATGCAACGCTCCTTTCAAATATGGTGCGTTTTATCTTTTCAGAGTTGATGAAAAGAAGTGACTCTTGCGGCTGCACAATAAGAACACGAAAGACGCGTGGCTGCGGTGTTCGTGGTGATGCAAACATTTCATCCTCTTCCTCAAATACCACGTCGGACACGGTCGCATCCGCGTAGTTCAGCAACACGCTAATCGCAATGCCGACAACAAGACCAACAAAGGTATCGGTGAGTATACATGCGGCGCAGGTGATGATGGTGGAGTAAAGATTCGCTGTGTCAATAACATGTAGAATGTGAAGGTCATTCAGGTCCACCAGTTTGTATGCGACAACCATCAGAATTGCCGCCACGGTTGCCATGGGCAGTTCCTTTAAAAGGGGGAGCAATACACTACATAAGAGTCCCACAGCGACGCACGAAACAACTCCCGCCATTCGTGAAAAGGCGCCAGAGTGCACCATCAGCGCTGTGCGAGCCAACGCAGCCGTCGATGGAATCCCCCCAACGAATGCACTTGCAACGTTTGAGAGCGCCAACCCAAACGTGTCACGAGCACTCGAGTAGTTGAGGTACGACTTATCGCTCACATGATTATTCGCAATGACAGAACTGATGAGGGTCTCCATAAGTCCAACAATGGCAATACCAAACCCGTATAAAATAATCCTTGGGTGAAACCACTGGGGATTTATCAGCAAATCCAAAGAGCTGAAAGCAAAGAAATTAAGTGACAGATCCGGGTACTTCATGTTCAAGAGGACAAACGATCCTCGCGGCAATACCTGAGCCATTAATATACCAAAGAGCGTAAATATAATCTGCCATGGGATTTTGTTATACCGTTTGGAGAGAATAAGCAAAGGAACGACGGTGACAAGAAAGAGTAGGGTGTCTGGAACGCTGATTGTCCCAAGGCACCTGTAATCTTCCTTCAACTTCTCCATAATCGTCTCCCGTTGTGCCACACCCTTCAGTCCCAACGCCGAGGGGATTTGCCCAACGGCAATCACAATCGCCACACCGCACCCAAAGCCGTGCGCTACACCAGAACTCACATACCGCAGAAGACGATTCACGCGAAGCAAAAGAAACAACATCATCCAAAGTCCTGCTTGAAGTGCGAGTGGGGCTAACACGCCACCCCCGTACGACACTACCATCGAGGCAAGCAGCCCACTGAGGGCTCCTGTAGGGCCAATAATGTTGAAGTGTGAGGAACCATAAATGGTGGCCACACCACCTGCCCAGACGCAACTCACAATACCCTGCGCTGGCGTGGCACCACTTCCAATCGCGAGTGCAATACTCAGCGGCACATTTACGAGGGCCACGGTCAAACCGGCTTTTATGTTTGCCATAAAGTTATAAAACAGCGGTTTATGTCGTGGCATAAACACCCACTCCAGCCACGTACGCTGAGGATCCAGGTTCTCACCCAGCGCCGTCTTTGGGTGGCCAAAGATGTCCACTGGACGAAAAAAAAAACCCACCATGAAGCAAAAGGAGATGAACCCTCTTTTGAAAACTACTAATTTCCCCTTTAAATTTTCCTTTTGATTTTCCTTTGCCACGGGATGCAGGCAGCCCCCCGTAATGTCCAATAGAATTAACTGCACATTTTCCCGGTACATGCCCAGCGCACATGCACAATGAAGAAAAAAGAAAAAAATATCAAAAGAAAACAATAAAAGCGAAACCCAAGCTCAAAAATCAAAATTAAAAAAAAAAAAAAAGAATAGGAGAAACAGCAATATACAACCAAAAAAATAATAATAATAAATAAATAAATAAATAAAATCTTCCTTCAGTTTGTACTAATCACTGCTGTTGCTATAGGGGTTGTGGTGGCGGTAGCGGGGGGTGATATGCTTTGTTGTGTATGGAAGTTCCCCGAGCAGAACTGCACTCGGTTCAGAGGAATGTCAATAATAAAAAACAACCACCATGAGCAAAATAACCCCTCAATGGACGCCAATCGTCGACCACCAGTCATCGTATGTGGGGTCCTCAATACTCACGTAGAAGTCATTTGCTTCGACAACAGTGGCCTCCCGCGCGCAGTCGTTGGGGTCATAATTACGAAACTCCTCGCCGTCGGCAATATCAAGAATGCGCACCTCCTCTCGAACAACAATGTGCGGCTGCCCGTCGGGGCGCTTGACGGAAAACTCGTGAAAAAGCCGCACTTCCCGCATCCACACACGGTACCCGTCCACACGAACAAAATGGCGAAACAGAATGAAAAACGCCAGTGACATGACACGGAAGCGCACGGAACTTTTCACAATGCCGTGGTCGTGCAGGTCATCCTCAAAAATGTCAAAGTTGTGAAAGAAAACAATGGGCAGTGTTTGGTCCTTCAACAGCTCCCAGTTCACGCCAGGCATAGAAGGTTCAAGTGGCCTCAGTTTGCAGCGCCATTCATTTACGCCAAAGTAATTATTCCGCCACGCCCAGTCAACCTTGGCATCAACAGTGGCGTACGGTGATTTCTTCCAGGAATCCGCGACGGGGATCTGCAGCTGCGGCAGGGTCGATCGGCAATAGGCGTCGGTGCGGTAGAAGGCAGCAGCCGAGCGCAACACCTCCAACAACGAGAATTTCACCAACGCCACATCCGCTCTCTCCGCAGGGGCGATACGAAGTGTATTAAAGGCAAACGGAATTTCCGGAAGGGCGCTGACGCCAAGAGCCTCTTCGTAGTGCAGCAGCTCCTCCTGCGTCAAGATGCGGGACAACTCCGTCACGGAAAAGTCCCACCCGCCCACACGGTGAGTGAACCGCTGTGAACGCTGCTGCTTGCTCGCCCCCTCTCCCACCTCCGTCAAAGCCTTCGCAGGCGTTGTGCCTGGTGCACGGGTAATGACAAATGCGGTCATTTTCGTCCCTGAAAAAGGGGGAAACGCTCCTTTTGCCTTTGATCCAGCAGCCTCCTCTACTGTCGGCACTTTGTCCTCATCTTTGCCCGCCAATGAGAAGGGAGCCTCGTTATGTGAAGGAATAGAAGCCGCATTTGCCAAAAGCGGATTCCTCGCCAAAGTGCAAGCCATAGGGAACTCAAGATTTTGAGAGAGGACCGTCGCTATGTTCTGCAGGCCCTGTGCGTCCTCCGCGTCAAAGAACTCTCGTTGGGTACTGTCGACATCCAAAACACCCACCACATGTCCCTTGGCAGTTTTGATCGGAACGACAATCTCAGAATTCGATAAGGAATCACATGCAATATGTCCTGGAAAAGCGTGCACATCCGGAACGATCAGCGTTTCACCCTTCTGTGCTGCCGTTCCACAAACACCGCGTCCCATTGCAACCTCGATGCATGCAGGACGTCCTTGAAAAGGCCCCAACACAAGCCGCTGAGGGCTTTGAAGCAGGTAGAAGCCAAGCCAATTCAAAGGGAGGTCACTTAACATTGCATTTGTGTTTGCAAAGCGGTTCAGCTCGTAAAAAAGCAATGCAGAAACATTACTCAAACCAATCATCAAATTAAAGTGCGGCGTAAGCATTGAGGAGGGGAGCTCGACAAAAGACCTCACGACGGCCTCCAGTCGCGTGTATAACTCCCGTTTGCTCCCGCATGGGGGGATGACGGAACTGTTGTCAGCGTGCATCGTTAAAAAAAAAAAAAAAAATACGTAAGCCTTGGAACGGATCATCCCCGTTGTTATCATGTGTGGACGGGGCACACACGCAGATGCCACACACACATACAAAAAAAAAAAAAAAAAAAGAAGAAGGCGCAAATAAACGGTAAAAACCAAAGCCTATTGCAAATAAACAACAACCATCAAAAAATCAACACAATAAAATAAAATAATTGGTATTTTTAAAAAATCCCAAAATATCAAAACGGCTAAAGATCCCTCATACGTCATCAAGAAGCGTCATTGGTATATGCAACGAATGACTAAGAAGACGACCATGCAACTCACGCGGGACAACAGCCTCCTCCATGCAAGTAGCACCGTGGTGGCGCTGAAGGTGTTGAAGAGGAGAACGTGCCACCGGAAGCCACAACATCTGACGGCTACTCGATGGAGTGGGAAGAAATGGCACACGAGTCAAAGGAAACAATTCATCACGATACCACCATTCGTTCGGCCACGTCCTCTTCGCCTCATTTCGAGCAAAAAAAACACGCCCCTGCAGCTCCTCCAGAATAAAAATGTCAATAAAATAGCCGTATTTCATACATGTGACGGAACCATCCCGTGACGGCGGTGGTAATGAGCGGCTGTAAACTTTGTACCCGAACATGGGCACGTACTCCAGTAGAAGATCCGTCTCCACGCCATCCATCCGGGGAAACCCAAATGCTGCGCGGAGTTTCGCCTCATCCGCGGCTAAAACGCCCAAATCGACGTCATCGTCCCATGGAATGATGCTGCCGTGACGCATGGCGCCCAGCAAAGTGCCTCCAATGGCCCAGCACTTCACACCGGCGCTCTCCAGAACACCCAACACAGCACGCAGTAGACCATGAAGGGCAACGCGCATGTCAACCGGAACAAGGATGAGCCGCATCAAGCTGCTACGACTCACCGGCTCGCGCAGCACACACGTCTCACCACACTGCAACGCCACCTCATCAAACAACGTGACGTTCAGCACAGCGGAACTTGTTGCAATATTCGAAACAAAACGGCGCTGGGCAAGAAGACTGTAGAAGGACTGTGCGGAGGGAAAGTCGGGGGCATCACTCTTGTCAAGAAGCTCGACAAGCTCATTCTCAGCTGTCGTCGGCAACCAGCGATGCGGCTCCGTGTGCAGCTCCTCCAAAACCTTATCCATCAGGCGGTGCAAGCCAACAGCGCAGTTTGTCGACCGAACTTTCGCTCCGTCGGCAGAAACCAGCGACGAACGCACTTCAGCAGCCTTCAGCGAAGCAGCGCGATGCCTCGCCAATAAAAAAAGGCGCGGCAACACATCACAAGTCATCACAAATAACCAAAAATAAAAACTAAAATAAACCAACTTTGATCAAACAACACCCCCGCTACAGCACTGACACATATATACATATATATACATATGTTTATTGCATGTAACACAAAATCAAAAAAGAAAAGCAAATAATTCAGAAGCAGAAACGCCGCAAGGCAGCTCTGCAAAGCAACGCCTTTGACTCCACCCACCCACAACCAAAAAAAAAAAAAACTCACATGAATAAAAATATCAAAGAAGAAGAAGAAAAAAAAAAATAGATATATATATAATATATATACTAAGCCTTACTTTGCCCCAAACAATTTTGCGACCTTCCCCCTCAATACCCTTTTCACCCCCTTTTTCTCCCCTGTTCCCCCTCCCCCCTTCTGGAGTTTGCTCAATTAATTAACTTTGCATCCATTGGCAGTACTTCACTCGCATGCAGGGGACTCCTTCCTTCTGAAAATATATATACATACAAATATATTAAACTTCAAACTTTCTCTTGGAGTATTCATTTACATGCCGTTCTGATTTTTTTTTGATTTTTTTTATTTTTTTTTTTTTTGAGTGTATGTTAGTAACGGTCATAAACTTTTCCTTCTGTTTTTTTCCCTCCCAATATGGTCGGCTCACATTTACCAATCGTTTTTTTTTTCATTTTTGTTTTTTGTTTTTTTGTCTCTCTGTTATAACTCGAACGCCCTTCTTTTCGTGTTGATTGTATATATTCACACAAAAAAAAATATATAAATAAATAAATTTAAAAAAAAAAAGGAGTAGTCCTTATTTGTATTTGTAAAGGAATGCGGTGTGTCTTTTCCTCCTACCTCTTTCCAGCAGCCCAACGTCCAATGAAGTCTTGTAGGAGGAGGAGGAGGGTAGTGGTTCATTTTTTCACACAGTTGTCAGGCTGCCTTCTCTCCTCCTCTCCTGCAGCCGTGAAGAATTCCCCCATTCCGGGGCGTTGCTGGCGTCTGTGATATCCAACCACGGCATCTTTGTAGAATCTGGAGTTCCTGCATTCGCTGGGGATCGACTCCTTTTCTGAATGAAGCAGGTGCTTCACCAACCCGTCTGGAGACTGCTCCCCTGGACCGTAGGAAGAAACGGCAAAGTTCCTGCAGGCAATCATGCCATTTATGTGCGTCTGGCAGTCGGGCGTGCGGAACCGGTCCATATTGTCGGAAAGACACTTCCACCAGTCCTCGTAGAAGCCGTTGACGGGGGGTTGGCAGTACCGAGTTATCTCTCCTCTGCATCCCACCTCCGTCGCATCCCTCAATTCTTCCCTGCGCACATGACGATGGTGTCCAAAAGATTGATGGTGGCAGTTATGGGGCTCCTTGTGTTTGTATCCCCGCTTCACCACCTCCTCGGCCGACACGCTGCAGGCGAGAAAAAGGACGAGAAGAACAAAAACAAACCGCATGCTCCTCCTGCTGTTGTTGCTGCTGTTTAGCGAGATGTGTCCGTAAAATTAAATTCTTTTTACAAAGCCTATTCTCACACGGCCGTGGTGCAGCGTGAGTTGGGAAAGTAGATTTAAAAAAAATAATAATTTTAAAATAAACCCACAGAAGTTTGACGCTAAAACTCCAAATAAAATGTGGATGGAGGCATTCATACGCATTTGTGTTGCCCCCAACACTACCGCCATCAATACCACACGCACACACACACACACACACACAAATACAAATACACACAACGGCACACATATCGTCATTGCATCCCAGTCAAACCTCCTTTGTTTGTTTGTGTCTTTTTTTGTTGTTGTTGTTCTCAATGACGCAGAGAAGATCACGTTAAACAGTGAATAAATTTTACATCTAATTTGTGTTTCCGGCGTGCAGGGAGGCTGCAACAATAAATCGTACACATCAATGACACAAGAACAGGAAACAAAAAACAAAAAACAAAAGAAAAAAAAAAAAAAGAAAAAAACATGCTTCATTACTCAAAAAATGGTAAGTTTCTGCGTCTTTTTTTCTAAAAGACTTGATGACGCTTCTTTGGTAACAGAGGCACATTTTTGTAGCGCTCGGGCTTCGCACGCTCCAAGTTCTCCATCTCCACCTTTATGCGTTCTGCATGCTTGGCCTCAAGCGCCTGTTGGTCCGTCATTTCATTCATAACGGCCTGTCGTTCCGCCTCCTTCTGTGCTGCACGCCGCTGCATTTGACCTATAAGATACTTCTGGTCCTCCCGCAGCAGCTTGTAGCGGCGTGCACGCTCCTGCGCATCCAAGTCGACTGTGTTTGCAAGCTCTCGAAGAAACTCCTCACGCTCCCTCGCCGCCGCCTCAGCGGCGTCCTTCTCCTGCTGCCGCTTGTCGAGCACCTGTTGCCGACGGATGATAAGTACATTACGCATCAAACGTTCACGCTTGTCCTCGTCCGCGCGCCACTGCGCCTCCCGCTTCGCCCACTCTTTGCTGTTGGCTTCATCCCACAATCTATCTAGATCTCCTTCATCCTTCTTGCGCTGATTCAGCTGCTCCCGGATCTCCGCAAGGTGTGCCCGGGCGGCCTCTCGGTGCTCCTCCTTCTGCTGCCGCTTCTGTCGCTCCTCCTCTGCCAGTTCCGCTAGCAGACGATCCAGCACCTCCTTGTCCTCCTGCTGCAACTGCTCGTACTCCTGCCGCCGCACCTGCCGCAGCTCTTCATTGAACGCGCTGATCTCCTTCGCAAGGGCCGCGCGGGCCCTGCGGGCCTCAACGCGCCTCTGCGCCTCCGCAGCCCGCTCCTCGTTCACCACGCGGTTGAACTCATCGTCCTCCCGCTGCTTCTCTGCCTGTTGTTGTGCTTTTCGCATCTTGTTGCCTTCCACCTGCGCCGCAAGAGCCTGTTTCGTCTTCTCCCGACCCACGCGCACCATCTCGAGATCGCGTTGCGCTCGCTCATTTGTCAACCGCTGCTCCTCAAGCCTCTGCTGAGCAAAAAACTCTTCCTCACGCTTATCCTCCTCGCGGCGCCGCTCTGCAAGCGCGAGCTGCTTAAAGCGGGCATCAGCAACCTGCATTACCTTCAGCCGACTTTCTGCCAGTCGCAAAGAGTCAATTTTCTCGCGGAACAACCTTTCGTGTCTTTTCTGCGCGTCTACTCGAAGATCCTCTTGCTGTTGCGCGCGCAGTTCACGTGCTTTTTGAATGAGCCGTTCGCGTCGCTGTTCTTCCGTCTCCGCAAGGTTGTTCATCATCGTCTCATGTTCGGCGCGCTCTTGGAGAAGCATGTCTGCAAGTCGTTTGCGACGGGCCACCAGTGCGTCATCGTGTTTTGCCTGCACAGAGTCCAAGTGACGCATCAGATCCTTCCGTTGAATGACGGTGTCTCCACGTCTCTCCCAGTTCGCGGTAAGCCGCAACCGACAGTCCTCCGCATGGGCCTTGTTAAACAACCGCTGCTCACACTCGCGGCGCTGCCGCGCCTCAATCAGGGCAAGGGCATTCAAGCACGGCATTGTGAGTGGAGGTGTAACTGTGTGTCGCCTCCTAGCTGCAGACAAGTTGACTCTCTTACCGATATCTCCTTCTCTCTCTCTCTCTCTCTCTCTCTCTTCCTATCTAAATATATTTTTCTTCCTTCCCTCACAGCCGCTCCTTGTCTTCGAAACGTCCTTCTCCTTCTTTTATGTGGTGCTCACCTGCTTAAGTCTCCCCGAGAGATGTGTACCTTCTGTAGTTTCCCCTTTCCTTCTGGAAACACACGTCAATAAAAAAACATATATATATATATATATTTTAAGCAACGTAAAGGGTGCAACCACATAAAAGAGATGATAAGAAAAAACATGCAGCGGAAACGAAACCTGCACATGTGTATAACTCCCAAATGTCACGACATGTCACACACATGGAAGCAAAGCAGAAACAAAGGGATAAGGCGCATATTTCGCCCACCTTCATTCACTCATCCTCCCTCCTCTCTTTCTCCCTCTCCACACACGCACACACAATCGGTGTCAAGGCATGGATTCCAGCAACATACATTTAGCCTCCAGTACGGCCAGCTCAGCCTTCTCCATCGCGTCCTCCACGGCCACCGCGTCCTGCCGTTCCTTCAAGAGGCGCGCACGAATTTTTGAGACCACGTCGTCGTCTTTCATAAAGAGCGGTAACGGCGGTGTACTGATCGGAAACATACCGCACGGCGCAAACACAGAACAGTAAGGGAAGGCCAGTTCTTTACTTTCCGTCAAAGTCCCCTGCTCCATGCGGCGTTGAAGCCGTGCGTGAGCCTCCGCAATCAACCGAGCGTCCAACGACTCCAACGTGTCGGAGTATTCCTCCGACGAGGACGCGGGCGCCTCGCAGCTGCAGGCGACAATGTTGTCATCACCAATGGACATGAGCTCTCATAAAGGACCCGCTAAAAAAATAGGTGAGTGCGTGCACGTTACGTACACAAGAAGAGACGGGAAAGAAGAGAAGTCATTTGAAATATTTGGGCCCAATCCGCAACAACGAAAAAGAAAAAAAAGACCCGCAGGCACAAAAATGTCTCATTGTTTAAAAATAAAAAAATGAAAGTTTACTTCCCCCCTCTTTCTCCTTGCCTTCATTCCTTTTCTCCCGGCATTTTATCAGGTGGAAAAAGCCGGAGGGAAAAAAGGGGAGGGGACACCACTCCTCCGTCGTCCCCACTCATTCCTCCCGGCCGCAGCGTCAATTTCTTTTTTTTTTCCTTTTAATTTCATTTAGCATATTTTTTGCCTTCGCGCCAATAAATCGCCTCCCCCCTCAACCGGCCCACACCATCCCTCCCGCAGCCGCAGCCATTTTTTTTTTTCTCTTCTTTTTGATATTCCCCTCCAAAAAGTATTTTTTTTTCTCACGCACTTCTTTGCGCCTCACTTCCGCGTTGCCCGCGTCGGTTGACTTTTCCCCGCCGTCGAAGCGGCAAACGGCCGGCACTTCGGTCGACCGCCCCCCGGGCACATGGCGGAACCACGTGGCGCATGCAGCGAGCGGAGCGGGTGGCGGGCAGGTGGGAAAAAAAAAGAAAAAGAGAGGAAGAGACGGCGGCGGCGTCATCACGTGTATGTTGCGCCTGTCGCATATAATATCGACCTGCGGCAAAAAAAAAAAAAAAC